ATTTTAAAAATTAAATTTTATCGATTTTTTTTCAATCACTATATCCCGTTCCCATATAACTGTGCCGGCCTGAAGAGAAGTTATCGAAAGCAAAGTTCGCTCGCCAACTTTTCTTCTGAATACAGCTATGAGGATTTTCACAACTCTTTTTTAGTACCCGACAGCAAAACTAGTTGAAAACTTCTGTATGGGAGGTCACGAATTTTATCTCCAACAGAGCGTTAACGAATTATATCCTCCATTTGGCAAATAAAACCGACCACCGACAACGCACACGGCAGTGTGATATAAAGGTGCAGTCGGGCTGTTGCCTGAAGGGAGCGTAATAAAATGCAGTTTAAATCGCATGATAAGTAGAACATGCAAATTGCCTAAGCCCCCTCCCCCCTTTTTCCGGTTTAAACCAAACCTTCACAGTGTGTGCAGTTTATTGCCTGCCAGTGGAAGGCAAAGCTGACGATACGGCAAGAAAATACTTATGGAGAAATGAGGCAACGGTATAGAGAAGGGCCCCACTTAACTGTCAGTAGACTGTGGGTCATGTGGGGTTTTATCTTGGCATGCATTTGCAGGCTGTTGCAGAAATTACACTGCCGACAACGATTGCTTCCCACGACCTCACACCTTAACTCGAAATCCGTTATTTTGTGTACGTTACTTTTTTGTTCATTGCTTAATTGCTACTCTCATTTCCATTGTCGTACATACAATGGCGTAGAACAAGACTTTAGGCATAAATCCAGGCAATTTCTGTGTTTTCTTTCATTGTGTCAGCTTACTGTCTAGTGTGCTGTCCCATTCATAAAACTCCCTTTACCATAAATCACGTATGGCAGGATCCACAGTCTACTGACAATTATGTGGGATCCTTCACTATACCGTTGCCAGAAATGATTTTGAATCGACGACCTCCATATTTCGCACAAAGTTCTTTCGCAGTTGGGTCAATACGCATGAATTCCGAAAACGGCTGAAAGAGCGGATCCATACCTTACTGATATCACATCTCAGGCAGCGCTCGAGGAAAAATATATAAATGAGAGTTTTGAGGGTAAGTCCTAAACTAGGGTCTCCAGTTTACTAAATAACCACGTCGTTAGACTCGAACACGTCAAGGAACGTTACAGTGGAGTGTTTGTAAGGCATATCCTATCCTCTCCCCACTCACAGCGCTCTGGATGGCAAACCAAACCAAAACGCATCAATCGGGTGGTCCAGATATTCGGTTACCCAAATTCAGGCTCGAAACGGGAAGATTGTGCCTCCCCGGAACTACAGATGGCTTTGCGCTAAATTCTAGGGGTTAACTATTCCCGTATCCTAACTTCAGCCCTGACCCTAACACTTACCCTCGCAAACGTAACCACCCTGACACCGACACTTAACCAAACTATCCATAGAATTTCGGGCAAGGTTACTTGGGCCACTTTGAGACCCATATTCCTGTGTCCAACCTACATTCAAGTCTGAGTGCTAATACAGATTCAGCTCTGTTTGAAATATATATTTTCCACTAACTTGCACCGCCAAATATGCAGTCAAAACACTTTGGACGCCGGGAGTTTTTAAACACGTGGGAAGGTCACGCCTCTGACGGCAGACGACTGAAGTCGGTATACCAAAGGAAACGGCAATTCCTCAAAGTTGTGTCTAGACTACAGCCAGGAATATTTGCCCGTTGCTGATTAAAAAGACATTAGACGGGGACCGGTGCAGACTCCGTGTTCAAAACGTGCCCCAGTATAGAATGACTTACCTAGAAGGGCAGTAAACGCAAGCCTTCCCAAAGCTGCACTTTCGATATCTGTATGAAAAAACCGCCACCCAGTCTATTCCATTTACTGTGAGCTCTAGTGAGTGAATATTTCTGAATGTTTCTAGAGATACTGACTGAAGTCCTGTCCATGGATATGATGCCAATTTCACTTTCCATACTAAAAGTTTTACTTCGGTCACAATTAACAATCCGAAAAAACCCCTCACTGTGAGTGATTTCAAACTTTCCACTGAACAGTGGTTGAACCTGGGTTCGCTGTTACAAACGGCCATTTATATACAGTATGTGAGCTAACCCATGAAATGTCAGCCGAAATTTCGAAATGCGTTTTCGTTTCGGAAAGATTAATTAAGTAGGGTTGTAAAACTAAACATTCCGCAGCATAATTCCAAAATAATCCAGTTATCTCAGGGGGCCGGCTTTCGAGCGAAATTCTTTCCTATCATGCAGAAACTATGCTCTGGAAAAATGGCTACTTAACTAGCCTGCAATTTTCTCATTGATTTTCGATGCCCTTAAAAATCCAATTATATTTCATAGGAAACACGCACTAAAATATTCATTCTTTTACTCATTCGGTGGGAAATCACGCCCCTTTCCAATCTTACACTCGAAGGAGGGGTATAATTCGGTTTTTAAGAACTTTTCCAATTCCCGAATAGTTTTGAACCCGACCTGCTGTTATACTTGCATTCAGGGTCTCCGAGCCATAAGCCGTATATTTTCCGCGTACGAAAAACCATATATTTCTTTACGGTATTAAGAGGAGACCATGTGGGGTTCATAAAATTTGGCAGTAGATTTGAGCCATATTGTTAACTTTACAAGCCACATTGGTAAATGCAGAGACATGACGTTTTATGAACGGCCATTTCACGGTATAAAAAATCCCATAATTAGAAACTTTTTTAAAACCAAATTATACACTTTCTTCGAGTATGAACTTGGAAGAAGACGTACGTGTCTACTGAATAATTAAATAAAAGAACATTTTTTGCATGTTCTCCATGAAATATAATTGGGTTTTTAAGGGCATCGAAAATCAATGAGAAAATTGCATGTTACATAAGTAGTCATTTTTTGCAGAATATAGTTCTTGCATGCAGTCGGAAATAAGTTCATTCGAAAGCCGGCACCCTAAGGTAACTTGATTATCATAGAATTATTCTGCGGGATGCTTCGTTTTACAATCTTCCTTAATTAATATTTTCGAAACGGCAACGCATTTCGAAATTTCGGCTGACATTTCATGAGTTAGCCCACCTACTGCATATTTGTGCAAGCGGTAGGAAAAAGGGGCCGAAATCGATTGACAACCATTTTGAAAGCTAATCTGCCAAGACAATTTGGGCGTCTTTTTTTCGTCAGGGCTTGGTCAGCACAAAAACATGCTGCGAACATCAGTTCACACAGTGCTTGTAGCAGGTACATTTGAACGGTTGTTTTAATAGGCAAGGGCGCTAGTTTTGATAGCAAGGGTGCCTGTTGTCTGGACACTATCTGTCTGCATTCTCTTGTTTTTCAGTTGAGGTGCGCGAGGAAGAAGACTCCCCCTCCCCGGTGGCAGCATCCAACTCCAACTTCCCTGAACAACCGTGAAACTAACGTTTGTTGGACTAATAGATTCCCCCCTCTGTTTTGCCCTCGTTTTACGTTCTCCCTTTTTGCCCCTTTCGCAATAAACCTTGGAGTACTACGCGGCTTATCATGTGCTTGAGGATTGTTATTCGATAATGAACGCTTGGAAGGACGACCCTAACGGTTCACAAATTGGACAGAGTGCCCCAGTTCCCGCCGTTCCGTCTCAGGCAACCCAGAAGGACACCAGTGAACCCTCGGCCACCGAACCACCCTCCCGAACCACCACTTACATCCTCCTCCTCCTCCTCCTCC